GACATGCGCGCGAGTCGCCGCGAGCGCATGCTCAAATCTTTATAGAGTCGTCGCCGTCATTGGCACCGTCGCATGGACGTCCTGTCGTCCACGTCGCAAAATGCATGGCAGGAATGGGACGCCGCGCACACCCCGCGCCCGCCCATCCAATCCGTCCCATTCTAATCTGCAAAAGACAATACACAGTTTTTGTTTTTCTTGTCAACATGGTCGTGCTGTCGTCACGTCGCAAAATGCGTGGCAGGAATGGGACGCGGCGCACACCCCGCGCGAAGGGGTGACATGTCGCTCTCGCCTCGGCGCCGCGCACCAACGTTTTTCCTCTCAGCATGGACGTCCTGTCGTCCACGTCGCAAAATGCTTGGCAGGAATGGGATGCGGCGCACACCCCGCGCCCGCCCATCCAAACCCCCCCGTTATAAAAAAACAATTCAAGTTGGGGCCTTCTGGCAATGCGTGCGCGGCAATGCGTGCGCGGCATTCAACACGCGCTCGCCAGTTCCCGTCGGCAACCGCCATCGCGGCCGCATCAGCTGTACCAAACCGGCTGGCCGGTGTGACTTCGGCCCCCAGTTGTGCCAGCTTTGCTTCTTATGTTGTGGGAGGGCGGGTGGGACTGGGCATGCCATGCTTGACTCGCTCGAGCTGGCTAGCTTGACTCTTACTCCTACTCCTACTCATTCCTCTTCATGAGTATTCCTTCCTCCTCCTCCTCCTCCTCTTCTTCCTCCTCCTCGTCTTCCCTTCTTCTTTTTTTGCTCTCTCTCTCTCTCTCTCTCTCTCTTTCTCCCACACACACACAGGTCACGGCCTGGCTGGAGCGGGACTTCGACCCGCAGCACCTCTCCAACGTGCTCTGGTCCTACGCGAAGCTCGCCCTCAGGGACCCGAAGAGCTGCGCCCTCTTCGAGGCCGCGGCCGCCGAGGTGGTTCGGCGAGGCGTCGGCTACCTAAGCCGGACTCGGGTGGGGCAGAAATCTATCGCGCCTTTTGACAAGTTATCCTTGCCCTGTCCTGTCTCCCTTTCCCTCTCGATCCCTCCCTTTCCCTCTACCTCCTCCCCTCTCGTTCTCTCTCTCTCTCTTTCTCTCTCTCTCTCTCTCTCTCTCTTGTTCTCTCTCTCTCTCTATACATGTGTATATATGTATGTCTATGTATAGAGTTGTGATCGATCGTATAGTGTACGTGTTCCTTCTTGCTTATTTGTCCGCCCCTGTCCATCCTCGACCTCGTTTTCCTCGTCCATCGTTCATTCGCCCGGCGCTGGCGCAGCTCATTCTGCGGCTGCCCGACGCAAACACATGAGGACCACTCTTCCACCTAGCGCCCTCCGCCTGAGAAATCCGTTTTTGAAACTCGGACCTTAGGCTCTTTCCTGGTGCCCATCACCCAAGCCGAGCTCGTTTCCTAGGCCGCGCCCACCCGTGGTTACGATGAGGTGGGGCGAAGGCCAAGGCAAATGAGGATCATGAAACACCGATGATCATGAGGATGAGAAGGAGGAGGAGGAGGTGGCAGAAGTCCGTCGCCATGTGGGCTCAAGTTCAAACGCCGTGCCTTGGGCGCTTGAGCTTGATCGGTGCCGAGGGGCTGGCCCAGGTCCCTGCGCCTGGTCGACAGGCGACCATTTACCAGGGTCCGCCTCCTGTCACATTCCCTGGTTCCCACACCTGCGCGCCACTTTTTTGCCAGTAGCTGGATGCTGTACCAGCACAGCGGCGCAATGGAACTGCGTGACTGCGATAGGTGCGACAGGCGAACCTCTGCCTCAGACCCCCCGTGCACCTGGACAAGGGCGTGCTACTGTTGTCCCTACCCCAGCACGTGCAGGAACCGCCGCTCAAGCCATGCAGGACCAACCCATGGTGAAGGTGGCATCGCCCCGACATTCGCTTCACCGCGGGACGGCTACGCCGAGCTCGGGGAGACCGTCGGGGCCACCCACACTTCGTTCATGGAGCAGCAATGTCGACGACGATGCAGTCCCACCTTGCGGGAGATGGCAGACAGGTTGATGTTCGGATGGCGGCAGCGGAGGTACCCGCTCGTGAACGTGACGATAGGTAGGGCAAGTGCGAGAAGGAGTGCGCAGTTCTTCGCGAGACGCTTGGCATGGTGCAGAACGCTAGGCCCAAGGCGAACACTGCTGCTGGAGGGGTCGATCGTGGAGCGGACCCGACGATCATGGTCATCAGGGCTCGCGCGATGGTGGCGCGCGCTCACGTCAGTCAAATTAGTTTCCAGTGGACGCAGACTGCCAGCATCGACTCCAAGGACTGCATCATCAAGGGCGACCCCGTGGCCAAGATCCACAAGATGGCCTTCAGATGGGCGGTGTGATATGTGGCCAGGAAGGCCAACGTGGCGAAGGTTGCGGCGCGGCTACCTGGAGGAACAGGCCAGCGCAAGATCGACTCAGAGTCACTGGACGGCCCCACGACTGAGCTGCACATACCCGCAGACCAAAACAATAACCATCAGCAATTTCAGACCGAACTCGGCCTCAAGCTCATCAAAAGGAATCTGGAAGAGCTCTACGACGGCAAATGCATCTTCATCGACCGCACCAATGGCGAGACCAACATGTCATATGTCATGGAAACGCATTTTCAAGCGCCACGGCGATCGACCAGGACAGAACGAACCTCCCGTCATTGAGTGGGCGATGGCGAACCTGGCGGCGGCAGACATCGACAGGGCTTTTTGCAAGGGACCTGCCACAGAGCTCTTTGCAGAGAAAGCCCCGACCCAGTGGAGTCTCTGGCCAGGTTCAAGTGTTCCCAGGGACAGCAGCTTCGCATTGATCAGCCGGAACGCCCGCGCTCTCTTCCATCGCCGCCCCCATTTCCGTGACTACAAGCACTCGTCGTCAATTCTGTGGTCCACGCCTCCAGTTTCATTGCCACTCAGGAAGCGCATGGGCCCAGGGCTGAGGCTGAGGACTTGGTTTAGTTCTTAGATCAGCCCGTCGTGCCCCTTCGTTCTGTTCTTCCTCCAACGCGGACGGCGCCCTCACGCTGGTTCGAAGGGTCGCTTCAGGACCCGTGGAGGTGCAGTCGTTTGAGATTGCCCCGGGAAGTGCCCCGGCAATTTTGGTTTCGTTTGGGCGGGTCGGGGCGCTTATATCACGGGCTGTAGCTGGCGCAAGTGCGGGCTCAGCAGGGCCGGAAATAACGTTTGCTTGCATATCCTTCGGCGTCGAGGTTTGACGGCCCTGGAGCCCTCTAAGTGCCTGCCGATCGTTGTCGGGGACTTCAATATCCTTGCAGGCCCCCCCCCCCCCAACCACCAAGCCTCCAGCACCGACTGGCGCTGCTCTCGCTGAGGACGGGCGCGCGTCTCGGAGGGGCGCGCGCGACCCAGTCTGGATTCCGCTCTTCGCGCAGTCGGTCGAGATCGAACAGTGCCCCCCCCCGCCACCACTTTGCTGCTGACCTCGAGCAGACTGACACCATGGATAGCATCAGCCCGTCGGTCTCTGGCTGTCTCTGGCCGGGTCATTACAAATAGTATCTCCTGGCAGCGCGAAAGACACGGCGGAAATCACTCACGACAAAAACCATTCGGACCGCGCCCGGATTCCCGTGGCCCAGCGCGGAAGAGCAGTTAAAGGCCGCCGCCGATCGACCAGCGGCCGATTCATCGCCACCTCTCCCCCCCCGCATTGTAAACGAAACGTGGAGCGGCATCTCGAGGCGACCGATTGATGCGAGATGGCCCCAACCCTCGAGCTAGAATGTTACAGATCCCTGCTCGGAGAGGCCGCCCGAGGCGAGAGGGGCGCTCTTCTCCAAGCTGGGCCTCGCCCCCACCTTGCCCAAATAACCGCGTTCGTTTCAGTTGGCAGATCAGCATGGCGACAGGGCGCGCGCCTGGCCGCGACGCCCCCGGGGCCCCATGCTGTGGCGCGCGACCGCATTGGCCTCGACGTCGGGGAGGGCAAGGCTTGGCGCGTGAAGCCGGCAGAGTACAGCGCGACGACCGACGGGTTGATCTGGCAAGATTTGGAGCAGCAGGGGAATTCAGACAACAGCAGCAGCGGCTTCAGCAATGAGTTAACTGTCTGCCCCGCTCAATCGTCGGCTGGTTCTCCGAGGCATTCGCCGCGCCATGGGCGCGCGTGCCGCGCCGCGCGAGCGGGCCGCTTCCATCGCTGCCTGTCGGGGCCCAGTTTCAAGAACGCTCTGGAGACCTCTGCGAAATCGTCCATCGCGAGACCTCGGCATCATCGATATCTTCCCCCTAACAGACGAATGATCGAGAAGCAGCTGTCCGTGGCCCATCGTGGCTAACGAGGCCCTGACATGCCCCCGCGCGCTGCCCGGCAGCGCGCGCCGCTCGCCGTAGTTTTGGACATGCGAGAGGAGGAGATGTTTTCAATTCCAGAGGGGAACTCTGATAACGGGCTTCAATCACGCGAGAGGAGCTGTTACCCCGAAGGGGAGGGGGGGGATGGGGGAGGAGGGGGCCCATAGGGCTTCCATGGAAATTCGCCGCAAAAATGATAGCGGAAGGCTGGGGGCGAGCCTTCAGTCTCAAGCGGGCCAAGGTCGGCCACTTCAGTCAGCGCGGTCTCGTTTAATGCTGCAGTTCGGCACCGACGTCGCAAAGGCGAGGGCCGCGCCCCGCGCGCTGGCCACGCTGCCCGGCGCGCCTGCACGGCTAGCGCGCGACTTCGCTCAAATGTCCCCACTTCCGGCCGCGCCTGCCTCATCCTGGTCTTGGAGGCCGCCCAGATCCCCGACCCGCTCTTTTGGCTCATCTGGGCGAGAAGTGCCGGCGCCAACCAATTTGAAAAGTTCGCGGGAGAAACGCCGCGCGCCCCAGGTCTCGGGCGCCCAGGGAGCGGGGCCTACTCAGCGGCCAGCGTCGAGCCGTTCCCCTTGGATTCCCTAGGGCTTGCGCTGCGCAGCTGAGCCGAAGAAGCAAAGCGTCGCGCGCGCATGCGCTGACGACCTGCGCGCAACCACATCGCCATCGACGTCCTGACGATGACCGAGCGCATCTCAGACAACGCCAGTCGGCTGGCCAATCTCCAGCTCAAGCAATCGAAGTCTCAGGCCCCGCCCCTCTCTGGCCCCGCCACCCTGGAGCTTTTGCAGTGCACCGTAACCAGTTAGAGCAGCTAGTTCTTGAATGGGGGCAGCTCGCGGCGTCAAGTATCATGGGATTTGGATGCGTCCTGATGCGGAAGCCACCTCACAGAAGAGCCTTTCTTAAGCAGTGGGGAACAGACGTATCCGGCTGGCGATCACCCGCCCGGCGGCTTCCATCGCCTCGCTCATGGATTCGACCCGCGCCGCTTCTACCCTTTCCAGCGTCGCCCAGTTCGCGTCGCTCCCTGACAAGATCGAGCACGACGAGTCGATGTCTTTGACGCGTATTCATGCGGTGGGTTGGCGAGGGCTTTTATGTCTGTTGGTCCTCACGTGGTGGGCGCAAGATTCTTTCTCTGACGACGGTGGCGTTGGCTGCCAGGACTCGCGTTACGTGGCAGACGTTCGAGCTGCGGCCTAGTTGCAACCGTCTCCACGCTGTCGAATCCCATCCCCGCAAGCTCGGAACTGCTGCTGCGGGCAAGCTTCCCCCATACCATTGGACATCCCCAGCCCTCTGCCAGCTGCTGCGCGAGGTCCACCAGGTACACCCGATCACCATCTCCACCATCGTCTTCATCATGCGAGTGAGCGCAAGGACCTTAGAATAGCCCAAATTGATGGGGACATATTTAAAGTACAGAAGTTCCTTGGCAAACCTTTCTCTAGTGCGTTGCACCCTGACCCAAATCGCCGCCTCCTAGACTCCCGCTTGCGGGATTGCCCCCCTGGCTGTGGCCCGCGCCTTGACATGATGCTTTGGAACGAGGTGCAACGTGTAGCTGCCTCGCTGCTGCCCGCCCCAGCCTCAGCTTGGCCCCGCGCCACTCCGGAGAGTTGGCTCGCGCGGCGTGGAAGTCGGGCGCGACCGACGCGCGCTGCAAATGAGGGTCATCACGGGCTTCTGGAGTAGAAGACCACATGCATTCACCCTCGTCGCTCGTGTTCTCGGTCTCCGCTCCCTTCCCTGGGACCCGGCGCCTATTTTCTTCTTGGCACGATTCGAGCCAAATGCTCGCTGCTCGGGAGCCCTCTTCGACGTGAGGAAGCCGAAGAGTTTCTCTGCGTCGCCCGTTTAGCCGCGGGGCGGTAGGCAGGCGGCGAAGGAGAGACCAGAGCGCATCAGCCACGCGGCAGGAGGCGGCGGCGGAGGTGGACGTGACGTGCCATTGGACGGGCGCCTCGGCGCGAGGGCGGCGCATCGGTGCCCCCTCGACGGGGCTCAAATGGGCAACTGCCCACAAGGGCGTCGCCGTTTCCCCATGTACTCCTGGCCTGGACTGGGCTCTGCGTGAGCTTTCGTCGCCGTTTTTCCCCGGGGGGGTCCACGATGTTCCTGGGGGCGCGCTTATTTTGCTTCAATGATTGGTCTGGCAGATATCAGCAGAGATCAGAAGAACGCGATGAGGTGCAGGCTCTATTCCCCAGGTCGCCCACAGCTGCACGAAGACACAGCCACGCGCGTCGCGTCTCGCGGCCCGGGCCGAAGAGCCGCCCCTCTCCAGGGGGTGGCGCGAGGGCGTGGAGACGGGCTGAGAAAGCGATAAGAATACAGTCGGAATGGGGGTCAACCGACGGCCCAGGAGCCCATGAGGACCCTTAGGCGACCAAAACTTCAAAGGCACCCCAGGAGACGCAAACTTGGCCCACGACGGCCGCCACGAGGGTTCGCGAGCTTCGTTATCGACATCACCGTCGTCGTCGCCGCCGTCGTCGTCGTCGTCGTCGTCGTCGCCCCCCTTCAGGGCCGGCGGCACCGGACGCAAGGCCTTCGTAATAGATACAGCCAGCGCGAGGGTCAAGAACACCCCTGTCGTCGGAGGTGGACTTGATGTGTTTCGTGCGTGTGGTCCACCTCCGGAGACAGGGGTGTTCTGAAGACACCATCTGGACAAGAGGTGTCTCCATCGCATGACACCATCTGGACAGGGGTGGTCTGAAGACAGGGGTGTTCTGAGCAAGAGGTGTCTCCATTTCTGGAGTCCTCTTGTTCTGGGGGGGTTCTCCATTTCTGGAGTGCGTGTCCGTTGGAGTCCATGTGTTTTCTGGAGTGCGTGTCCCTCTTGACGTGTTTCGTGCGTGTGGTCTCCATTTCCGGAGTCCTCTTGTTTTGGGGGGGTTCTCCGTGGGGCCTCGGGGCCTCGGCGAAGAGGTTCAGTGCTCTTGAGCTGCGCTCTTGCGGCCACGTTTCGGACGTGCCCTTCACATCCACTTCGCCCCCCTCCCCTCAAAAATATGTCGTTTCGATGGCGTTTTCTGGACAGCGATGCGTTTTCCCGCGCGCTGTGTAGTGGTCCTTCCTCTGGACCTTTTCTCTGCAAGTGCATTCTGAACTACTGGTTATTTCTGCAATGCGGCCGAAATCCATGTTGTTATTTGTTCCAACCCTCCATTGCTGGGTTCTCGTTTTGCATAGAACACTGTGGTCTTCACCTCCTTCTTAGTGCCCTCCCCTTTTTCGTTTCTCTCTCTCTCTCTCTTTCTCGCATACTCTCTCTCTCTCTCTCTTTCTCCGTTTCTCTCACTCTCTCTTTCTCTCTCAGTCTCTACATCTCTATATATAGCCGTTTGTCTCGTAGTTACCTCTTTCGTACATGCTTCCGACCTCGCCATCCACGGGGGAGGGAGATCTGCGGATCTGTCACCACTTTCGAGGGCTGCTGGAAGGGCCAGCTTAGTGCGGTCCTGCGCAGATCAGAGCGGGACCTCGCCATCTCTGGGGGGCTGCAAATTGCGAATTTGTCGCCATTATCGAGGGCTGACAGGGGGGGCAGCGTTGCGGTGCTACGCAGATCAGAGCGGGACCTCGCCATCCGAGGGGGGCTGCGATCTGCGATATTCTCCTCATTTTCGAGGGCGGCTGGGGAGAGGGTGCAGCTTAATGCAGTGCCGCGCAGACCAGAGCGGGACCTCGCCATCCCTGTGGTGGGGATCTGCGAAATTGTCGCCATTTTCGAGGGCTGCTTGGGGTGGGGCAGCTTAGTGCGGTGCTACACCTCTCAGAGCGGGACCTCGCCACCCTTGGGGAGCTGCGATCTGCGAAATTCTCGCCGCCATTTTCGAGGGTTGTTGGGGGGCAGCTTATGCTGCGCAGATCCAAGCGGGACCTCGCCATCTCTGGTGGGGTGCGAATTGCGAAATTGTCGCCCTTCTTCGAGGGCTGGGGGGGGGCGAATTGCGAATTTGTCGCCACGCTCGGGATCTGCTGGCGGGAGAGGGGCATCTTAGTGCGGTGTTGCTCAGATCCGAGCGGGACCCCACCATCTTTGGGGGGTGCAAGTTGCGAAATTGTCGCCAGTTTCGAGGGCTGTTGGGGGGAGGGGGCAGCTTAATGCAGTGGCGCGCAGATCAGAGCGGGACCTCGCCATCCTTGGGGGGGCGGGCGAATTGCGAAATTACTTCCATGTTCGAGGGCTGCTGGGGGGTCCAGCTTAGTGCGGTGCTCAGCAGATCAGAGCGGGACCTCGTCTTGGGGGGGGCTGCGACTTGCGAAATTCTCGCCATGTTCGAGGGTTGTTGGGGGGGTCCAGCTTTGTGTGCCGCTAAGCAGGTCATAGTGGGACATCGCCATCCTTGGGGGGCTGTGATCTGCGAAACTGTCGCCCTTTTTCGAGGGTAGCTTGGAGGGGGCCAGCTTAGTGCGGTGCTGCGCAGACCAGAGCGGGATCTCGCCATTGTTGGGAGGGTTGCGAATTGCGAGATTGACGCCATTTTGAGAGATGCAGACATGCTGGCAGCTCGCGAGTCGCGCAGACTGCGAGCCTTCCAAGTAGCGTTCGCAACAAAGAAAGTACTTGCCACGTCATCACCCCCTGTAAACTCTTCTCAGCTCTTATGGCCACACATTGAGCAAGGGTTGGGTACAACATCGTCAGAGTAAGTTGATTGATCCTACATTGCGTTACCATTGGGGCTTTTCAGCATGCAGTTGATTTGTCATTATGTATTCGCTTCGCTCATCGTTCTGCCAGCCCGTTTCGCATCACTGTGGTTGCGTGGTGGTGTGCTCGTGCCCAGGGGTAATGGTAGGGCAGGCAGGATCGTCCTCGAGGAGATCTTTCGAGATGTGGCTTCCACCTTGTCGAAGAGAGCCGATTGACTGCCCCAGAGGGCGCCAAGATGGCTCAAGATAGCTCCAGCAGAGCTCCGAGACATAACTGGGTTGTGGGTGAGAGTCCTCATGAATGCTTCTCGGGGTCTCTTCGGAGGGCTCCCGGGAACCTCTGGGAAGCAGTTTGAGGCTTCTGGGGAGTCTCTTGGGGGCTTCTTGGGGACCTCTTGGGGCCTAGGGGTCTCCACGGGCCTCCTGAGGTCCCCAGATGTCCTTCACGAGGCCCCCTCGCGACGTTGTTGATCCCGGACCCTCGAGGCGCAGGGCCAGACGGAGGGGAGGCGCTCCGCCCGAGGCCTCCCCCTCCCTCAGCATCAACGGACCAGTCCCACTCCCCATCGGGAAAACGTTTCCCCCGTCAGCTGACCCACCTCCCCTGGTGGGGACCGATGCCGGTCCCGTCGGGCCCTGTGGCACCTGCCCCTGCCTAGAGGCGGCAGGCTGGCGGTGTCCAGGAAGCCTGGCGCATTGGGGGAGAGGGAGGAGGAGGAGGAGGAGGAGGAGGAGGAGGAGGAGGAGGAAGGAGGAGGAGGAAGGAGGAGGAGGAAGGAGGAGAGAAGGCGGACGAGGACGAGGAAGACGAGAAAGAGGAGGAGGACCAGGAGGAGGAGCAGGAGGAGGAGAAAGAGGAGACCTCTTGAAGCCCTCGTGGGTCCTCCTGGGGTGCTTGGGGGGAGGCGCCACGATGCTGGCCCAAGGAGCACCCAGAACATTTCCAACACCGTCTGGGCGTACGGCGCGCTCCAGGTGGGACCGCCGGCCTTCCTGCACGCCGTGAGCGAGTATTTGCAGGGTGGCCAGCTCGCTGGGGGGGGAGGACGCGCGTCGGTCGTACTCGCTTTTCCTCCTCCTCCTCCTCCTCCTCCTCCTCCTCCTCCTCCTCCTCCTCCTCCTCCTCCTCCTCCTCCTCCTCCTCCTCCTCCTCCTCCTCCTCCTCCTCCTCCTCGGGGGGGTGCGGGAGGGAGAGGGAGGAGGGGGAGGGGTGGAAGAGGCATAGGGAGAGGGAGAAAGGAGGGTGAGGGGGAGTGGGCGGAAGAGGGGAGAATGGGGGGGGGGACTCGGAGGAGGTTGAGGAAGCAGATGGAGGACGAGGAGGAGGAGGAGCAGGAGGAAGAAGAGGAGGAGGAGGAGGAGGAGCCAAAATGCATCAACGATGTTGCAATAAACCAGCCCTCCAAGTTCCCTCTCGATAGGTCATTGCAGCAATTATGGGGGTGCGTGCACTTGAATGATGTATAAGCGGCCTGTGTCGTTGCCTGTGTGGACCCCTTCCTGTCTTGGGCGCGAGGCGCCTTGATAACTGCGCTTCATGGGGCCTTTGCTCGTTTGTGCTCGCACTGTTTAGGGATGGGTCCTGGCACTCGGCCTCTAGTCAGCTCTCCATAGCGGTCTTTTTTGGCTCGGAACTTTCTCGGCGACTTGCGGCCTTGAGTCGCATGCAGCCGGGGGACCTGCCCCGCTTCCTAAGCGGTCCGCTCACTGCTATTGTTCCCTCGATCCGACTGCGATGCCATCCGTCGTGCCCACCAGGGCCGCCGTGCCCCGACCCGCCGGGCTGCGAGTGCAGTTGCCCGGAGTGCCCGGCGCTGCCCGAGTGGCTGCCGCCGCTGTGTGCTGAGTGCCCGTCGCCGCCGCGGTGCCCAGCCTTCCCAGGTTGTCCTGACCTGACTCTGGGCTGGGAGGAGGTGTCCGCGACTGGCCTCGCCTGTTGGGTCGTCCAGCTCGTCGCCAGCGCGCTGTGGGGCCTCCTCTTGAGATCGCTGCGCCGCTGCCGAGGCAACCATGTCTCTCGTTGGGCTCGACACGGGGGAGGCGTGCTTGAGACGCCCCCTGCCTGGTAAACACTTCCTCGCGTGGTACGACGCCGACGTCGTCTACCACGAGAAGGTGGCGTTGTGGCCGCAGACGCGGCAGAAGTGGTTCGTGCTCACGCCCGACCCGGACATGTATGCGGAGATGCTGGACGGCAGCGAGGGGGCCGAGGGCGTGACGAGGATCCTCGACTTCAGCCCGGGGGGGCACCTGCCGAGGCTGGACGCGCGGGCCTACCGCTTCCGCGAGCCCGTGGACCTGGACGCGCTCAGGCGCTACATTCGAGAGGGCCGTCGTCTGGCCCTTCAAGATGGAGCGGTGGCTAGCGACTCGCCGATCGAGATGCTGGACGGTGTGATGCCGGACAGGGAGGTGGTGCCGCTGGACGCGCGGTTCGACGGCCGTTTCCTGCCGCGGCGTCTGCCGCTGCGGGGCGGGGGCCCTGCGCGGCCAGGCGGCGGCGCTGCCCCTGGCGACGCCGCAGGCGACGACGCGGCGGGCACAGGCGCTGCGGCGGCTCCTGGTGCTGCCAGCGCGGCCGGGGACGAACACCCGCAGCGCGGGCTTCCGGAAACGCCGCCCGGGCACGCGTGGAGATGCTGATGGAGAGCAGCCGCGTCGGCAACCTGGGCTCGGAGGTAAAGTTCGAGGCCGGCGGCTTCCGCCTCACGGATTGCGAAGCGACGGTGGTTCGTCGTGGCCACGCGCGTCGGGCGGAGCTGGTGCCGCTGGCCGACGTCGCGGAGGCGAGGCTCGCGCGGATCGCCGAGCTCGCCGCGGAGCTTCCCCCGGGCGACCCGCCCCCTGCAGGCTCGGCGCCGTTGCCGGCGCCTGGCACACCCGATGAGGCGGTCACGGCACGATGACGCCGCCGGCGGCGGCCGAGGACACAGGGCGAGCGGTACAAGCATACCGCGAGGCCGTGCAGGAGAGCTACCACGTCCCCGACCCGCACTGGCCGCTGGAGGGGCCGCCGACCCACCTGCAGGTGATGAAGCACGTCGAGCGGAGCAGGGGATGCATGAGCTCACCTGCCTCGTCGACATGATGTTCTACGCTTCCACCTTCGACCGGGTGAACGCCCCAGCGCTGGCCAGTTTCGAGGTGCTGGCGCGGCGCTTCCAGATCATCTTGGACGCCCACAGGCTGCCAGACCGCGCGCCGAACTGGCAGATTACGCGTTTCTACAGCGGGGCGACCTCCGCCGTGGATGCGATCGCCCCGGAGCTGAGGCAGCACGGGGCTCGCCGCGCGAAGGAGGAGAGCGACGTCGAAGCAGGGGCCCAGCGAGCGCGCGGGCTGGCTCCTGTCACTGGCGGCAGCGGCGGCGAGGAGATACGCGAGAGCGACGCTGCCGGCGCGGGCCGCGGCCGGGGCCGCCGGGGCCGCGGGGGGCGCGGGCGCGACGGCGGCCGAGAGGGCGGCAGGGGCACACCGCCCAAGGCCGGCAGCCCCGCGGCCGCCGGGTCGCAATGAGCCCCCACCACGCCGGCGGGAGTGGGCCCCCCTTCGGTCGACAGTTGGAATGGCCCAGCTGGGCGCCTCCCGGCATCTCGCGGCGAAGGTCAGTTGTTCCCGCAGCCGCGGCTGGAGGAGCCCAGGCCACCTGGCGGGGGCGGCCGCCTGAGCCGCGGGCTGCGAGGAGGCGCCCTCCGCGTCCGTCTGGTGAACAGGCCGATCGACGCGCTGAACTGAATGGCGAGGGCGACTGGCTCGCCGGCAGCCGGCAGCGGCAGCGGCGACAGCATCCACAGCGAAGTGACTGCGCGGATCGACGGCCTGGCGCGAGCCCAGGAGCCAGTGCCCGACTCGATGCCGGGGGTCTGGCTTGTCTGGAGGGTCGAGGAGAGCGGATGCTGCGAAGTGTCCCAGATTTTGAACGCTTTCGACAGGGCGACCCAGTGCGACCTCTCTCGGACCCCGGGCTCACAAAGAGCAGGCGCTTGTTCGTTCGTTTCATGAGATGGCTGCACTCGAATGGCATGCTACGATATACGTCAGAGCCCTTTGAGTTTGTCGGATGCTTCTTCGTCTGGAAGTAAGGAAGACAGAATATGGGCATGATTGCTGATGCGCGGCCAGCCAACTGGCGAGCGGCGCCGCCTTCCCGCGCGGACCCCACGGCGCAGGGGCTGTCGCGCATCGAGGTGGCAGTGGGCAGCGACCCCTGCCTGCTGGAGAGCTCGAGCTGGGGCATCCTGCGCGCCCTCCGCGTCTGCCTGAGAGTGGGCGACGTGTTTCTACGGGATGGCGATGCCGCCCTGGCTCAGTCCGCTGTTCCGCTACCGGCCGCGAGCGCAGCCCAGCTGCGCTTCGGCGCCGACGAGACGATCGAGGGTGTCTGCGCGGCCGGCGACGACCTGGTCTACCCGCGCTGCCGCCCCATGCCGACGGGACCCTCCCGGTCCCTCTACTTTTGCCAGAATTCGAACAACAACTTGGCAAGGCAGCGCGACTTGCTGCGCGAGGCTCGCCGGGCCTCTTCAGGCTTGGGCGGGGGCGGCGGCGAGCGGGGCCTTCGGCGCTGCGTGCACGTCGACAACTTGGGCGCCCTGGGCCAGGACTCGCACTCTGCGGAGAAGGCGCCGGAGGAGACGGTCGCGGCTATCAACGAGCTGAAGTTAGACATCCACGAGGCGGAGCTCTTCGTGTCGAGGGGGGCCGCGCTCGGCGTCAGCATCGACTGCGAGCTCCTCTGCGCCTCCATCACTTGCAGAAGGCGTGCGCGCCTGGAGCGGGCCCTGGCCCACGCGCTGCAGCGGGGGGCGATGTCTGGGCAGGACATGGAGCGCCTGCTGGGCCACTGCGACCACGCGGGCCTCGCGGGGCGGGAGGTCCTCAGCGTCTTCTCGGTCAGCTACGGCGTCGTGCGGGACAGCTACTGGGACAGGCAGGAGGTTTGGAGCTCTGTCCGCGAGGAGCTGAGCTGCTTCCGCGTGCTTCTGGTCTTTCTCAGCAGCGACTGGGTGCCCCCCTGGAACCGCAACGCCACGGCCCCCGATGCCTCCGAGAGCGGCTTCGGCGTCACGTCCGCGGTGATCGACGCGCAGGCCGCGGCCCGGGTCGGGCGCGTGGCCGAGCGCACCCGCTTCCGCCTGGGCCTCGGGCTGGCCCCCCGCCAGCGGGCCATGCGCCTCGCCGGCTTCGACGATGGCGAGGGCGCTGGCCCCTGGCACCCCGCCGCGCCCGAGGCGGCGCCGGAGGGCACCTGGGCGCTGGACGAGGGCTTCGAGGAGGTTCCCGCGCGGTGGCTCGAGCAGTCCCGCTGGACCCTCTGCCGTAGCGGCGTTTTGGATAAAGCCGACGGCATTGCCATTTTGCAGGCCCGCGCCGCTCCGGCCTCTGTCCGTCGCCTCACCCAGGCGAGGTGGGGCCGCGACATCAGGCGCGTTCACGTTTGTGACAACATGGGAGTGGTACTGTCCATTAGCAGATCTCGTTCGAAAGACTATACGGTGCTGGTCGCTATCAGGCAAGTCAACGCCTACCTCCTTGCTCTTAGCATCCGTCTTACTGTCCGTTGGATTCCGAGCGAGCTCAATAGCGGTGACGGGGCATCCCGAATATTTGATGACAACGCCTCCTGCTTTTCAGCCTGGTGTATTCCTCATCTTCTTCGACAGCGCCGAGGTCCACCAGAAGCCCCTGGAGGCCAGCGTCGTCAGCGAGCAAGCGCCCGAGCTTCCGCGCGCACACGTGCATGATAACAGGCGTGGCACAGTAACATCATCAAGTTCCCAGAGTACCGACAACAACACAGATAGACATGAGCCTCGGGTTCTACATCATCTGACTAGTGAACTCAGCGAGCCAGCCAAGCCCGAACCCCGCGAGCTACATCATCAGCCTCATCAGCAAGCCGAGCCAGCCCCAGCAGCCCCCAGCCAGCGCCCCGCCGGGCGGCCCTCCGTCGACCACTGCCCAGGCTCAAGATCATGGACGGCGCCGCCGCGCCCCGACGGCGACGGAGCCTCCCGGCGA